ATGGTTACATATGTATTTCATTTATCTTTGCACTCGCATTCACATTTATTGTCAAAAGTACCATTATATAATAGAGACATTAGAATGCCTTGCTCGATTGGGGATTACTAATACAGCTATAAATAGAGCTGCAAAATTGCATATCGAAAGCTCCATAAAAAGTATATATGTACATATGTATATTTATTATATATTACAACATGGGAACGACTAGAAAGTGCTCTATTAAAAACATATTTTGAAATTTAATACAAAAATCAACTTTTTTCATCTTAATATATTTATTTAATTTATTTAAATAAAAATTAATTTATTTAAATTTAAATTTTTTTTAAATTTTTTGCGATTATGTAGTAAAGCAATTAAGTAAATTTTATAGCAAAGAGCTGATTCCAATTGTGAGCTAGCAAAATTCTTTTTGTGAGTTGGCAGGCCTGGCACTGGGCATTTGCCTAGTTGCCAAATAAAATATGTTCACCATTTTTTTACAGGGTATATACAAAAGCATATATATTTTGTTCTTACATGACAACACACACACATTGAGAAAGGTGAAAGAAAGCACAGAAATTTGTGTGTGCATGGTCAATTTTAAAGACTTGGGCGACGTTGATCGACGTGGGCGACTGGGTCAAGTTCAGATGAGACATTCAAGGGGGGCCGCAGCTGAATCATCTGTGGGCAAACAGCGATGCCCAAAGAAATGTGAATGTAGATATATGTATGTGTGTGTATATGTATATATAAATTTACATGTGTAAAAATCAATATGTATTTTTAGTTTATTTTTTTTTTATTAGCTAGGAACTTTTGCTGCCCTAACCTATGTATGTATGTATGTGTGTACATACACACATAAATGCATATGTATGCAGCTTTAGCTAATACTTATTTGTACAATTAAATACATATATATTGTATAAATGCTAATACATTATGTCTCTATATCTAATATATATGTATATACGATACCTGTGTCACACACAATTTCCCCAGTTAACATTTTTAAAGTATTTTTGTTTTCAACACAAATTCACTTTTTCACTTTAGCAAAAAGTTATAGATCGCAAAGCAACGATATGCAGCTTTAATGACTATCTATCGAGCTATCGATAAGTACTATAAGCGATGCTTCTCGATGCTTCTCCGCTCTATGTGAATTCTGTAAGCTGTTTATTCGATTGTTAAGGACTTACAACAAAAAGAAGAAGTGTATTACAAGCGATGTTTCTCGATGATTCTCCGCTCTATGTGAATGCTGTAAGCTGTCAATCCGATTGTAAGTCCTCACAAGAAGAAGAAGAAGCTGTTAACCACTCTTGCTGTCTCCCTCCCCCTCACTTTCTGCCTGTCGCCCGCGATGAGTAAGCGAATATTTGATACAACAGCTGCAGGAGCTATAAACTCCAGTTTGGAAGCAAAAGAAACCAACGATGCCGAACCAGGCAATCGAGTCAAGAAGTTGAAGCTCTTAGAGGATTCACCCGAGGAAACTCATTTTAAACTGAAGCCAGCTGAAGGGAAAACTTCGCCTCAGCCGGCCCAAACTCTGCGGCAATTGTTGAGCATGGACGACGAGCCATGGCCAGCGACGACAGTATCTGCATCTGGGGCTGAAGATGGAGATGACGAAGGTGAAGAAGAAGAAGGGGAAGAAGAAGCAGCGGTAGTCGAAGAGCTGCAAAGCAATAGAACCGAGGAGCCTCTCGCTAAGTCTAAAAGCTTCTCGGGGCAACTGTGCAAGCAGAAGGACTTGGCGCCCACTTCGCAATGCCCTATAAATGGGGAAATTGTAGAGCAGGTGACCTACTTTGACACCTGGTATGTTATACGGCACACACTTGTGCCGGTTGACACGCGTCAGCAGCGACATTATTTGAAGCTACCGCTGGTCAAGCTGGCAAATGCGGCCAACCACATGAAATTGCCCACGGCGAACTGGAGCAGCAAGGTCACCCTGTATAAGGTGGCCCCAGCTGTGCTGCAACGTCACACCCTGACCATATACACCGGCGACCTGAAGGTGCACAAGATACCCGAGCGGGAGCGCCACAAGTATCAGCCGTCCTGTGTGATCTTTCGCCGGGAGCTGTCGCCCGAGGAGCACCACAAATGCCATGTGCCCTTTGATCGTGTCGTCATCTTCAAGCACAACCAATTTTCGGTCAATTTCGATGGCAAGCTAGTCAATCTAGCGGGTGCCCCGGAGGCGGTCACGTCCCTGCAGGATGTGCAAAAATTGCTGGATATTGTGGACAGCATTTCGCTGTCCCATTCAATGGTGGAAATAGTAATGTCCAAATGATGACACTTCTTATATTCCAAGGCAAATAAACCGTATAGCAATCTGATCAATTATTATGTATACCATATAATAGTTTAAATAGAAACACACATTCTAAATGCTATTCATTGTACTGGAAATGTTCAAAGAAACTAATTGGCTGTACCAAAAGCATTTATATAGATAATTTATTATGATATCATTTATCTTAGCAATTCTCAAATCTGTTTTAGCACCTAATTTCTCAATTTAAAGACGTATATAGCGATTGTTACTGATGCAATATACGAGAACTATCGAAACGAAAATTCCGGCGAGAATTGTTTATAGAATAGTTATAGTTATGTAACAAATAGTCTTCCAATCAAAGGCAAATATTGTTCGCATATGTACATATCTACTGGACCGTCAATACTTCTATTTATAGATATATAGATATTATTTGTCTTAGCTCTATCCCCAGTTCTCAAATATCGAAGGAAATTTCCTGCATAGGGATCCATTGTATCAAATTTTACACCTATTCATAACCCAATAATAATCATAAAATCAATTTGAAGAATCACTTACCTTGCAGCTGCATTATTGTCATTTGATACTCGGCTAGCTTCTCATCGATGTAGTCCTGAGATTGATTCGCAATAATTTCGGCAGTCGATGGCCCGAACTCCTCCTCATCGTCGTAGACGACATAGGATCTGGGCTGTGGCGGCTCCAGGGGCACGCCCACAAAATCGATCTGATCCTGTCCGTGTTGTCTCGGTTGTGGTGGCAGTGGTGGTGCGCCGGACTGGCGCAGATATTGCGGCGGTGGCGCCGGTTGCGGATATTGCGGCTGCTGGTGCTGATGCTGATGCGACAGCGGCGTCTGCCTGCTGCTGCTGTATGTAAAGTCCGAGCTGGGCGTTTGGCACACAATGGGCGACGGTGTGGGCGACAGCTGGAACGAGCTGGTCGGCTGGCCGCCATACGAATTTTGGTGCGGCAGCGGTGCCGGTCGAAAGGGACGCGGACCGGAGCCATACGCATAGCTCGGCGGCGGCGGCTCAAACATGCCCGGCGGCTGATACGGTGCGGGCGATTGATTGCCGCCAGGCCATTGTGGACGTGGATGCGGCATGGTGTTGTTGATGTTGCCGCTGCTCCCGCTGCTGATGCCAATGGGTCGCTGGCCACGCAGCTGGGGCGCCGGCGACATGGCCTGACCATAGGGACGCGGTCCGGATATTATGGGCGGCGGACTGGGCGCTGTTGTCCACGGCGAGGGCGGACGGTACAAAAAGGACGAGGGCGACGGCGAGGCGGGATTGGGTGCCCGTGGATTCCAGCCACGTGGCCCATTGCCAAATGGCGGTGGCCCGGACATATTACAATTTTCACAGCCTACGTTCAGCTACTTTGCGGTTTATTTTCTTTTGATTTTGCGGTTTTGATATGTTGGATACTATTTTCGATCTTAACAAAGACACTTCAATGGGATATTTAATTTTTGATTTGGTTTGGATCGGGGACACACTTCAATATAACATATTACACTGTGAGTACAGAAGAGATTGAACAGCATGAGTCGACGAATTGGCACCGATAAGAGATTTGAGCGAGGTTCGCTAAGGTTAGTCTATGTACATAGGTCCCTCACACATACACACACATACGCACTAATTAGCCAGTATAGCACTTAGGCTAATCAATCACTAGTTGCACTTAAGCACACCTGAACAGCCAACCTAATTATGTCAGACATACAAAACAGAAAATAGTCGTACACAAATAAATCATGACCTATTCTAAAGTCTCTGATGAAATTGTCTGTAGAGTCAATTCTGTGCTATTTTCTAACGGAAGTGGGCTAAATGTTTATACGGTTTTTCGCACTCAATTCCCAATTCTTGTTCGCTTTGCTCTATAGCTATATATATAGATCCATTTGATTTCGACTTTTTTAAAAATGGGCGCTGACGCCATTCGCTAGCTTTGTCTTTGCCAATTTGAAAAAAAAAAAAAGAAATAGAATTTCTGTCACAGCAATAGAATATACATATAGTATATACTTTAGTTGTCTAAATATTAATATATCGAACCAATAACTAGTTTGTCTCTGTGGAGAATTAGCCAACTGTCAGCATTTATGAAGGTCTTTTCCAACTCGTAGCATCTCATGGGATGTTTATGCTGCTGAGTGCTCGATGGCATGTGGCAAGGACATAAATACTACACACGCCTAGCCAGCCAACCGACCACTGATATCATTCATAAACATAGTCTGAGCAAAGAGCCAAAAGATGAAGAAGAAGCTCAAGAAAAGCCATTAATTTAAATATTAAATACATATTCATATACGAGTACATTTGTTTGTGTTTTTGGTAGAACTTTTCTCTGAGGTAAAATGACTTTCACGAATATTTTCATTTTCCAACTTAATTGCATTTCAAGTGAATAGAAAAATGGCATTTCGAATGTTTATGAAAGTGAAATGGACGAGTTTTCAACAAATTTTGCAAATTAAAAAAAAATACATATCTATTCACAGTAAACATTCGCTAGAATCATGTGTATATATAAATATTTAGACATATATAATGCGTATTCCCATTTTAAACTGAATTGATTATAAATAAATCTGTAAAATATATTTAGATTTATATGTAAATAAATATAAATTAGAAATTTTTCATTTAAGTTAAGAATAACTTTTCATAAATATGTAAATTTCGATATTTAGAACACAACTATTTATAACTTCTTTTTCGGCAATTTTTGTTTTTTTTTTTTCCAATTGAGCCAAATATGAATGAATGAATGAACATATAAAAAAAATAATTTGAACTCCTCCTCATCGTCGTAGACGACATAGGATCTGGGCTGTGGCGGCTCCAAGGGCACGCCCACAAAATCGATCTGATCCTGTCCGTGTTGTCTCGGTTGTGGTGGCAGTGGTGGTGCGCCGGACTGGCGCAGATATTGCGGCGGTGGCGCCGGTTGCGGATATTGCGGCTGCTGGTGCTGATGCTGATGCGACAGCGGCGTCTGCCTGCTGCTGCTGTATGTAAAGTCCGAGCTGGGCGTTTGGCACACAATGGGCGACGGTGTGGGCGACAGCTGGAACGAGCTGGTCGGCTGGCCGCCATACGAATTTTGGTGCGGCAGCGGTGCCGGTCGAAAGGGACGCGGACCGGAGCCATACGCATAGCTCGGCGGCGGCGGCTCAAACATGCCCGGCGGCTGATACGGTGCGGGCGATTGATTGCCGCCAGGCCATTGTGGACGTGGATGCGGCATGGTGTTGTTGATGTTGCCGCTGCTCCCGCTGCTGATGCCAATGGGTCGCTGGCCACGCAGCTGGGGCGCCGGCGACATGGCCTGACCATAGGGACGCGGTCCGGATATTATGGGCGGCGGACTGGGCGCTGTTGTCCACGGCGAGGGCGGACGGTACAAAAAGGACGAGGGCGACGGCGAGGCGGGATTGGGTGCCCGTGGATTCCAGCCACGTGGCCCATTGCCAAATGGCGGTGGCCCGGACATATTACAATTTTCACAGCCTACGTTCAGCTACTTTGCGGTTTATTTTCTTTTGATTTTGCGGTTTTGATATGTTGGATACTATTTTCGATCTTAACAAAGACACTTCAATGGGATATTTAATTTTTGATTTGGTTTGGATCGGGGACACACTTCAATATAACATATTACACTGTGAGTACAGAAGAGATTGAACAGCATGAGTCGACGAATTGGCACCGATAAGAGATTTGAGCGAGGTTCGCTAAGGTTAGTCTATGTACATAGGTCCCTCACACATACACACACATACGCACTAATTAGCCAGTATAGCACTTAGGCTAATCAATCACTAGTTGCACTTAAGCACACCTGAACAGCCAACCTAATTATGTCAGACATACAAAACAGAAAATAGTCGTACACAAATAAATCATGACCTATTCTAAAGTCTCTGATGAAATTGTCTGTAGAGTCAATTCTGTGCTATTTTCTAACGGAAGTGGGCTAAATGTTTATACGGTTTTTCGCACTCAATTCCCAATTCTTGTTCGCTTTGCTCTATAGCTATATATATAGATCCATTTGATTTCGACTTTTTTAAAAATGGGCGCTGACGCCATTCGCTTGCTTTGTCTTTGCCAATTTGAAAAAAAAAAAAAGAAATAGAATTTCTGTCACAGCAATAGAATATACATATAGTATATACTTTAGTTGTCTAAATATTAATATATCGAACCAATAACTAGTTTGTCTCTGTGGAGAATTAGCCAACTGTCAGCATTTATGAAGGTCTTTTCCAACTCGTAGCATCTCATGGGATGTTTATGCTGCTGAGTGCTCGATGGCATGTGGCAAGGACATAAATACTACACACGCCTAGCCAGCCAACCGACCACTGATATCATTCATAAACATAGTCTGAGCAAAGAGCCAAAAGATGAAGAAGAAGCTCAAGAAAAGCCATTAATTTAAATATTAAATACATATTCATATACGAGTACATTTGTTTGTGTTTTTGGTAGAACTTTTCTCTGAGGTAAAATGACTTTCACGAATATTTTCATTTTCCAACTTAATTGCATTTCAAGTGAATAGAAAAATGGCATTTCGAATGTTTATGAAAGTGAAATGGACGAGTTTTCAACAAATTTTGCAAATTAAAAAAAAAATACATATCTATTCACAGTAAACATTCGCTAGAATCATGTGTATATATAAATATTTAGACATATATAATGCGTATTCCCATTTTAAACTGAATTGATTATAAATAAATCTGTAAAATATATTTAGATTTATATGTAAATAAATATAAATTAGAAATTTTTCATTTAAGTTAAGAATAACTTTTCATAAATATGTAAATTTCGATATTTAGAACACAACTATTTATAACTTCTTTTTCGGCAATTTTTGTTTTTTTTTTTTCCAATTGAGCCAAATATGAATGAATGAATGAACATATAAAAAAAATTTTTGAATTCTTTGAAAATACAAATACAAAAAAAAAAAACATTTTTTGCAAATAATAAACACTGTGTTTTTCCAAAAGCAAAAAAAAAAATAATAATAATAATAAATAAAGAAAAAATCAAATTAATAATATAAAAATGTTATTTAAATAATTTTAATGCAATTTAAAAATAATTCAAAAAATATTCAAAAACAAAAATATTTTTAGAAATACCAAAAAACTAAATAAATAAATATAAGAATATTCACGAAAAATGCTTCATTTTCATAAATACTATATTTTGTTACAGCCGAACACTTTAGCGAATATTTACTGTAGCCATTTCGCAATACGCGAAATTTCCATAAAGTTTTGTATGTACATTCATCTGCTCTCAATAATTTCAGCGTTGTTCGCATTTTGTCCAGTAGCACATGAAAATTTGCACAGTGTAGGCGTCTTGTAGATCTGTTCCAATGCAGACTTTTCACTTTTTTTATGCCGTTGCGTTGGCTGCTTTTTTCTTTAATTTTTCTTCTTCTTCTTTTCATTTTCGTATAAATTTTAAAAATAGAAATGAACTCAGTTCGTTAAACTTTTGGTCGGAAAAATCATGCTGAGTGCAGCATGCTTCGATTATATCTACCACTACTTCGACTTTGTCTTCTTCATCTTCTTCTTCTTTATCACAAAACACACCCCACACTTGTACCCGACCCCTTTTTTTCTAGTAAAAAGCGAACTAATCTTAAGTGCCATCGATTTAATGATATCTTTAAATATAATTGCTTTAAGTGCACACGCATTAACTAACGCATGATTAATCAAACGTTTTTCGTTTTCTGTTTTCAAGTGGGAAACGTGCTTTTCCACGTTTTTCCTTGCTGCGATTATGTAATCCATTTTCAAGTGCGTTTGTGTGAGTGCATTTGTATTTGTGGGTGAGAAATTGAATAATTAAACGAACCATTTAGAAAACTAAAACACGTTATTCGATTTAGTTAAAGCACACAGCGCACAGATATCGGCTTTGATTAGAATTCAATATGTATATATAACAATCTATATATATGCACTCAGCATATATAGGCGTATATATATGTACGTGTGTATATACTGTGTGTGTGCTGTGACAAAAACTTTCGTTTTATGTTGAGGAAAAACCGAGAACAACACTCGACGAGCACGAAACACTAACTGAAACATCCAAGCAACAATTTGTTGCCGATCTTTGATCTTGAAGGGGAAATCGAGGAAAACAGCTTCAGCCGAGTCGCAGTCTTCGGCACTCACCGAACTTTTCACGATTCGCAGGCTGCTTCTCGCCCGACGCCGGCTAAGGCAACTGCGCATGCTCCAAGGGAAAAGTCATTTTACTCATTTTTTCATTTTGTTGACACATCACATTCTAAACAAAAACCAAAACACAAAGGAGAATCGACGATTGTAATTGGCGCGAAATCACATGTGCTCTGGGGGAATCGAATATATATTTATATACATATATTACATATTGTTCTTTTGGATGCTCTAAATAAGAGGTTATGAATTTTGATATTTTTGTATATTTTATATTTAAATAAATGGTCAATAGTCTTTTATTTGTATTGATTTCGCATTTGGCTAATCATAACAGGATATAATATATCCTATTAGAAGCTTGAGTTCCAATAAGAACTCTACACATTGTGCACTTTGTGCTGTTAAATTTGACTTGAATAAGTGCCCAGACGGTATGCGCTTGAGGAAAAGCTTATCCAAACTTTTTTTAAATAATTTTCATTTTTCGTTTAATTTACAAGTGCATACTTACCGTTACATCGACACATTCATAAAGAAGTTGGCAACTGTTAAGTATACTGGACTGTTAAGCAATCGACCATAGATAAAGAAAACACAGGATGTAAATTCCTACATTTCTATACAAAGCTCAAATATTTTAATAATAATATTGATATTAATATTGAGTGCCATGCACTCTGTAAATGATATAAAGTCTTATAAGCCGACAATACATACATGCAGCATTATCTCGGCAAACAAGTTCTGTTGACTTCAAAGTGGAATGAATGCTGTTAAATACAAACTCTTATGCCAAGCAGCGCCTGTCAGCCAACAAATTCGAAAGCGCCATCTAGATTTCAGTGTCAAAAACGGAATCGACACAAATGTTTAGTTGGCGCGTTTGGGATTGAATTTAAATTTATCGATTGTATTTGAATAAAAAACTCAATTTGATTTTGTTTTTTTTTTTTTTTTTTTATTTGCATTGAACACACAACATGCTTAAAGACTTTATTTATTTATCAGTATCGATTTATTGCATTGTATATCTTGTCAACATTTCATAATTGGTTTTTTTTTTTTTTCTGCTGTGATTTGCATTTTTTGCGCCTTGTGTTATTTAGTACAGTGTTTGTTTGTTTGTGTTGTTGCATATGCTTACTAACTAATTAATAATTAAAAATAAGTTTTATGATATTTTGTTGGTTGTTTTTGTTGTTGCTGTTGTTTGAGTTTGACTTTGATTGAAATACTTTTTAAATAATATTGCATTTTGAACTATTATTGTTTTGTTTTATTTTGACAAATTCATCTACATTGGATTGGCAACATCTTTGGATTAAATGCAATTTACAATTACTTTAAGTTGGGGGAAGCTTTTGTCATTTGTTTGAATAGTTTTGGTTTCTTTATTTTATTTTATTTTTTCTATAAGTATTTTAAGTGTTGGTTAAGCGCATTTTGCTCGCATCGAGTTGAAATCTGTAAATATATGATTCTCTATATATATGTATATGTATATATATATATTTATATTTTTTTTTTTCATATATATTCATTATTTCTTTTACCATTATTATTGTTAGTATATTGCGTTTTTAGCATTTAGTTAGTTTTTATTTATTTGCCTTGCATACACTTGGTTTCTGTTTTGTGACACGCAAAAACAGTGCTGTAAATTACAAAAATATATCTCGTTTTGTTGCTGTTGCTGCTGTTGCTACTGTTGTTTGCTGCTTTTTTGTTGTTGTTGTTTTCGAACTGAAGCAATCAAAAACACAATAATATTTATATTTTTCTTAAAATTCTTTTTGTTTTTGCTTATGATCTCTTTTTTCTCATATATCATAAAATTGTTTGTATATTTTGCTTATTACAATACAAAAGGTACGAAAGGCGCGACAAATTCCGCAAAGCGAAATTTACACTAAAAATTGACTTAATTCTTGAATGTTAAAAGCAACAAAATGAAAACACAAAAAATAATCGATTTAAATTGTTAAGTTGAAGAAATTCCAATTCTTAATGTCTACATTGCAGAATATAGAAAGTGTTTTAATTTTTTATTTCATATTTTTATTTTGTATTTATTTTTTTTTTGCATCTTGCTCTTGTATTTTTTTTTTAGTTGTTAGCATAATAGGAAAACTTGAATTGAAAGCGGCAAACTAGCACGAGTATCTGTTTTATAGATTTTCATTATCTTATATATTTATATATATATATATATGTAAGTATGTATTTATATATGTATGTATTCTCTATTCGGCACGACAGAGCAGCGAGGCAAAGCGAAAGAGTCGCAGCCAACTAAAGAGCTTCGACTCAATCAGATTCTCTTCCGCCGTCGAGGTGGTCATCGAGACCCGGGACATGTTGGATGATTTGCTGGTACGCTTCTGCTGCATGATGCGCGGCGAGCTGAGCTTCATAATCGAGTAAGTCGTCTTGACTGCTTTGGGGGCGCACGCCGCAACGGGGCGTGGCAACGGGCAAACGGAACGAACGGGCTAAACCACAAACGCAAAGAGCTGCAAGAAAAAGAGAGAGAGAGAGAATACGGGATTAGTTTAGGCCCAATTCAAGTGTTGTTGTTGCTGTGCTCCGAGTGGCCTGTCAAGTGGGCCTTGAGCAGCATTGAGGAGGAGACAAAAAAAAAAATAGAAGTGTATATGGAGCGTGACATTTGAGCGGCTGTTGGCCCTCAGAACACAAGTGGGCAACTGCTGACAGTGCTGGCACGCACACAGACACATACAGAGGCGCACTCACACACACGCACACACACACACGCTCGCACACACAAATATGCTAAACTTTGTTTCGGCTTTATTGGCTTTGCTCATATAACCCCTACCCAAAATCACTTTCGCTCCCGCCTTACCCCCATTCAATTGCCATCATGCTGGATGACCTTGCCCACTCACGCTGCTCCGCCGGAATCGGTGTGGCATGCTCCAGTTTGCAGCGTCGAGCCCGAAACGAAGCCCAACCCAACCTAACTCAACCAAAGTTCAACAGAAATGAGCGCTTCGATGACACATTCAACGCTTCGTTAATTAGATAAGTTTATGGAGGTTTATGTAGATATGTAAGTGTATCGTGACACGATATTAATGAGACTCAGCATAGAAGATTATGCAGAGATATGTGTATAGCGGGGCAGGAAACGAGACTGAGCTGTGTAAGTAAATATGTAGAGACATTTTCAAATATCTTAATAGGAACTGTATATCGTGACACAAAGCAAGACTTCACATGCAACTTTATATAATTATCGTGTCATGAATTGTGCACGATTAAATCGTATTATCTACGTGCATATTTCGTTAAACGATGATTAGCCATAAGTAGCTCGTAACATAGATGATTATCTAGAGTGTTGTATATCTATAGTTAATATAGAAAATTGTAAAAAGATATCAATATCGTGACACACTATTAGTATGTAAAATAATGATATATCTTATATAATGATGTACAAATTTTTGACCGATGGGGAACTAATAAATATTTCTTACAAGCAAATGTCAAAAAAGTTTACAAATCAAAACTAAATTTTGTTCAGGCTTTAGTATTCTAAAATAAAAATGCCTAAGGGAAGTAAAAGTGGAGGTAGTAGTCGAAGTAATAAAGGAAGTAGTAGTAGTAGAGCTAAAAGTAAAAGCAATAATAGCAGTAAAAGTGACAAATCAGAAAAATTGCCAAAACGTCAAAATTCGAATGTCGATGAGGAAGTGACGAGAAGTCAAAACCCATACTATAGAAGTTTTTCTTACTGGCCTGCTTTTTTTTACTGGCCTCCTTTTTTTTACTGGACTCCCTTTTATAGAGGTATGTTCTTTGTTAAAAAGTCTGATATTTTTTAACTATATTCATTTGTCTAAAAAGAAAAGCTTCATATTAAACGAATATATTAAGCAATAATTTAGATATTTATAAAATATGAATGAATATGAATATGTGAGGCATATAGAAAGATGTATGAGTGAAAAATACAGTACATTCTGATAAGTATAATTATATCTCATGTGTTTATACATATGCTTATCTGTCATTTATGTCTATACATGTTTATATGTCTGCCTCAACTCAATATTCATTTATGTTCCCGCTAATTGCCTAAATATTCTGGCCAGCATACATTTCGACGTCATTTGCAATTATGCAATGCAATCGACACAATCATACCAACAGCAACAGCAACCGCCTTCCATTTCCACTCGCCACTTCCCCAGTTTTCCATGGAAAACACTTCGAGCTCTCTAGCTGCCCACGCCGAGTGTCGGCGGCGCAGCAAATTAATTTCAATTCTCATTTAAGTTTTACAATCTCAGCGCTTTTGTGTCATTGTGTGCGTGTGTGTGTGTGTTTTGGAAACTGACGACGACGACAACTGAAAACCAAAACAACAACAACAACAAAAACAGCAGCAGTTGTGAAATATATGTCATGCAAACAACAACAACAACAACAGCAAATGCAACAGCTGAATGAGTAGACCACGCGACAACACTTTATTTATTTATGTTTTCATTTTTTTTTTTGTTTTCCTTTACTTTTTTTTGTGTTTTTGTGTGAGCAGCAAAATGAGATTATTTTTTGTTTTTTACTTTTTGTTATGTATTTAAAAAAACATGCTGTAGCTGCACGTTCTGAATACCCTATAGAAAAAAGGGTTAACAGAGTAAGAGATATCCTCGAATAGTCTACATAAAACATATATGAATGGAAATATTTTATTTTGCTGAATAAGAGTATTTATAAATTTGGCAAAATATTTTATTCTGAATACGTTAGGCTTTTAAGAACCAAAAATAATATTAAGAATTTTTATTTTCTTTTTTTTTTGCGTTATTTTTAAATAATTTATTATTTAAATTCAAAGAGATTTTTCTATGTTGAAAGAGTATTTTTCAAATTGTCAAAAACTTCATATCTGAATGCGTGAAAATATTAAGAAATAACATGAATTTTTAAACTTTTTCTTTTTAAAAATTTATGTCATATCCTTCATTTTATTTTATTTTAAATACTGCACAAAACACAATTGGCCAACAACTAAAAACGAGTTTAGTAAATGTTTAAAGCAACAGTTTAACGAAATTATCTATCCACAGCTAAAGACTAGCTGATTCCCTATGAGATCTATAAAATATGCATTTATATATATACATATATGCATTTATATATACAAATATAACATATTCAATTTTGCCATTAGCATTCTGATAAGATTACACATAGAGATAGACAACGTAGGTCATTAAAAAAGATATTCAAGAATTTGCTTGGATCTCCCTTAAGAGTGCAGTAAATTCTCATATCATGTATATTTTTTTCCTATACGAATTCGCTAGAAAAATTTCTTAGCTGCAACGGTATCCATTCCATTTGGGTTTGACATAGGCATTTGGGAATGGTGTAGGAGGCAGGGAAACTGAGAATGGCAATGGGAATTGGAATGGGAATTTTTGGTTTCGTGTTGCGCTTTAATCTTACGTTGCGAGTTATGCAGCAGCTGCCGCTGTTGCCTCAGTTGGCTCAGTTGCCTCAGTTGCTGCTGCTGCCCACGCACACCTCCAGCCCTCCGCCATTAGTTGACACTTTGTGGCTGCTGCCATTTATATTAGCTGTTGTTGTTGTTGTTGTTGACTGTGGGGCAAACAAATGATGAGGCTTTCGCCGTGGCTAGGTGGGGACGCACATTTGTTTTATTGCATTGCCTGTAGCAGCGGGGCGTATACGTGATGTTTTTATTACCGTTAAATTAAAAAGACGAGGCGTGCCAGACATGAACAAATGGAAATGGAGTTTAACCAACCAGCCAACGACACCAATCAATCGATGCTGGGCGCAAGAAGTTCACACTTGGCCACATAACTTGTGCGCGGCGCCAGCGATTTCAATTTATGAGCGCCCTCGTGTCACATTCCAATAAGAACCGATGATTGGGCATGAGCACAACACTAATTTGTATCATCTACTATAAATAAATGCATGCAAGCCTGGCAAGCCACTCTCTCTCCCTCCCTCCTCTCTCTCTCTCTCTCTCTCTCTCTCTCGCTCTCTCTCTGGCTCCGTCTATCGGTGCTTCTGTGTGTGGCTCGTGTGTGCTGTCACATGGTCGCACTGACTGACCCACTTGGCTGGCTGTCTGGCAACGCTGCAAATGCTAACTGCAGTTTGAGCCTGTGCCAAACTCAATTATCAATTTGCGCTTTTTATTCACAGAGCCCCTGGCCGTGTCTCTATTTCGTTCAGTTCCAATTGCCAGAGTTGACGTGCGATGCATTCGTTCAATTGACAGTAGCAGCCGTTGACAAAGTGTGGGGTGAGAGGGAGAGAGCGAGCAAAGAGAGTGCAGAGGTAACGGGTTTATATGTTAGCATATGTACGAAAGTATGTGTGCGTGTGCGTGTGTGTGAATTAGTTGCATAGTCCCAGTTGGAAACTTGACGATGGATGACATGGCCTTCACTACGTTGGCAGCTTGTTGACATGGCAATAATCAGCTATCTCCCTCTCTCTTTAAGTAGGATGCTCTTTCATTTGTTAAACAAAAATATGTCGGTATATATGTATGTATATGTATATATATATATTTTATATAATGCGTACTTAAAACTAACCTCGTCATCAATTTTTTATTATTTCTTTCGTTTGTTTTATGTACTTTTGCTATTGATACGAAAACAAGACGCATGTCAACACCAGCAATGACTTGACACATGCGAAGACACGCTGCTGAGGTCGTCATCTACGCCGCTTATATACTATATGCCATAAATTTCCCACTGGGTGCACAGTCATAAATATGCCCGCTGTCAGCGCTTCTATATTTCCAATTGCATTTGAAATGCGTTCGCATTGCTCTTATCAGAATCGTGCCAATTGTACGCCTCACCGACTGACAGATAGACTGACAATCTAACTGGGTTTCTCTTCTTCTTCTGCTTGACATCCATCTAAGGGGGGCGACTTCAATATCAATGCTTGAATCGAAAATGAACAACAATTGTCTGAAATAAGCTACGCAACTTTTGTCTACGTCTAATTGGGTCGTTCTCGAGAGACACCAAAACACGCTGAACTTGAATGCCTTGACAAAAGCTATATATCTGTATTTTTTCTAACCCGTTCACTCGCAGTTACATGAGCGATCTATACAACTGCTGCTGCGGCTACCATTGCTTTTTGGGTACGATATGAGCTCAGAAAATTCATAGAAAATGACATCAGCTGTTACCAGTTCAACTTGAATTGGCAGCTCATAAATATTTACGGCACTAATTACGGCACATACAAACTTCAAGATACTTTTCAGGCAATTGCAAGATGCGCCAGCGACAGCGACAAACAATCGCTAAGTGCAGGGGAAAAACCGCATTTAAACACAAAGAAAATGCTAATTTTAATGTAAATACACACACACACACACACACACATTGTTGTGTGCTGTAACTGTAAACGTAGGCGACGTCTGCGAAAAGTCGCACACAGCCGCAACAGCTGCAAAACGAGAGAAAGA